AAAAAAAAAAAAAAAAGTATTTGTTCTGTGAAGTTTGGACTTGGTCAAGGGCCTGCACTTGAGGATCCAGGGGGCCACATGTGGCCTGGAGGCTACAGGTTCTCCACCCCTGATTTGGGTAAAGACAAAATCAAGAAGGAACCTATGAGCAAAATCCTGAATAAAAAGAATTATAGATAGAGACAATGGCTGTACAAGGAACATTTTTCCTTAACATTGGGAAAAACAGCAAGAAGGCCAGTAGCAAGAGATTGGTAGGCAAAAGGAAGAAGATTAGCAATGGATGAGTGGGGATCCCATCGTGCAAGGTCTTACAGGCCATGGAGAGAAGTCTGGGTTTGCACTGGGAAGGTACTTAAGTGTTTTAAGAGGGGCAGTAACGTCATCAGATTATATTTTACTAAGATCAGTCTAGGAGCTAACAAAAAATGCCTTCAGAAAGGGCGGCGCCTGAGGCTCAGTGAGTAGGGTGCCGGCCACCCTGTTCTGGCCAAACTGCAACAACAACAACAAAATAGCCAGGCATTGTGGGGGGCGCCTGTGGTCACAGGTACTTGGGAGGCTGAGGCAAGAAAATCACCTAAGCCCAAGAGCTGGAGGTTGCTGTGAGCTGTAACGCCACAGCACTCTACCAAAAGTAACAGAGTGAGACGCTGTCTTTAAAAAAAAAAAAAAAAAGTGCCTTCAGAAACACTGGCAAAATGACATCATGAATAAAAAAAAAAATATTACTACAGGGTGTCCCAAAGGCCACCCCTAAAAGGGAGGAGAGTATGCTTATCAGTTAACTGATGGTATTAAAGTATCACCTTAAAATAGCACATTTAATATATAAATATGCGAGTCACGAAAGTTTTGAAATACACAAAAATCAAGAAATGTAAAATCCACACAAAGAGAAACAAATGAAGCCCTCCCAGCAACACTGATAAGCTGAGCAAGTTGAAACTTGCACAGGTGATTAGAAAGGACGCTGTTGACTGTTTCTTGAAAGTGAAATAATGGACCTTAACACTACTTCTTTTGTAAAAACCCATGTACATTCTTATTTCCTCTATGGTAGTTCTAAGTCACAAATTCATGTTCTCAGGATATCTAGACCTGCACTGTCCAAATGATAACCAACAGCCACCTGAGCTATCACTGATATGAAGTGTCAGGTGCTATAATGTGAAACACATGCCAGGTTTCAAAGAGTATTATTGCTCAGGTAATGCACTGCCTTGGCTTCCCAGAGTGCTGGGATTACAGGCCTGAGTCACCACTCCAGTCTTTTGTTTTTTTTTTTCCTTTTTGGACACAAAGTCTTGTTCTGTCACCCTGGTTGGTGTGTAGCAGTGTCATAGCTCACAGCAACCTCAATCCTGAGCAAAGGTTGAGATCCCCATTTCTACTAAAAATAGAAAAACTAGCTGGGTGTGGTGGCACTGCACCTATATTCCTAGCTACTCTGGAGGCTGAGGCAGGAGGATCACTTGAGCCCAGGCATTTAAGGTTGCAGTGAGCTATGATGACACCACTGTACTTTAACCAGGGTGACAGAACAAGACTTTGTGTCCAAAAAAAAAAAAAAGGCTGGAGTGGTGGCTCAGGCCTCTAATCCCAGCACTCTGAGAAGCTAAGGCAGGTGCATCACCTGAGCTCAGGAGTTCAAGACCAGCCTGAGCAAGAACAAGACTCCCATTTCTACTAAAATTATAAGAAAATTGGCCAGGCCTTGTGACTGGTACCTGTGGTCCCAGCTACTTGGGAGGCTGAGGCAAGAGGATTGCTCGAGCCCAGGAGTTTGAGATTGCTGTGAGCTATGACTTCAAGGCACTCTACCCAGGGTGACAGAGTGAGACTTTGTCTCAAAAAAAACAAAAAAACCCCCCAAAAAACTATACCTAGCGGGCCTTAGGGTATTTTCAAGCAACAGAAAAACTAAGCCAAGACTATTTTAAAAGCTGTTACTTCACCGACTGTATAAGACAAGACCCAGTTTCCTACGGTAGTAACCTGTCTTACATCTACACTCAGATTTCTTTCATGTGAACTCCATCAGGGGAAGTAAGGAACTGGAACCTCTCCTTGGCTAGGAATACTCTTTCCTTTTTTCCCACTGAATCCTCAGAAAAACATGGAAAAGCAATAAAGGTTGCTTTTGTTTTTCCATAACCTTGAGTCCAACTTGTTTGTAGGGGGGAAAAAGGTTTCTAATGCTACTTTTAGAACTACAAGGTTTGTCCTTAAATAGACTAATACAGGAATTCAGTGAGGGCCTCACACAGTGGTAATGTTTGAGAAGAGACCTAACAGAAGAATCAACATTTTCCAGGCAAATAAGTTCAGGAGATACCATTATAATGCAAGACAGAACAAATGAAAAGAAATAACAATGCAGCTCAGTGCCTGTAGCTCAACTGGCTAAGGTGCCAGCCACATATAGCAGAGCAAGCAGGTTCGAATCCAGCCCGGGCCTGCCAAACAATAATGACAACTGCAACCAAAAAATAGCCAGGCGTTGTGGCAGGCAGAGAATTGCTTAAGCCCAGGAGTTGGAAGTTGCTGTGAGCTGTGATGTCAGGGTACTCTACCCAGGGCGACAGCTTTAGTCTCTGTCTCAAAAAAAAAAAAAAAAAGAAAAGAAAAGAAAAGAAATAACAATGCAAAGCAAAAAGAACACAGCATCTGCAGGGAATCAGAACTACTTTACTGTGGGAGTGTGTACTCTAGTGTGGTTTGTTACTCTAGTTTTATTTTTGTTTGCATGAAAGAAGGTTCAAAAGGAAGGAGGAAGTTTCAAAAAAAGAGGCCAGGCTGTGGCAAAGAACAGAAGCTTCTTCACTGTTCTGCTATTGCCTAGTACTTAAAAGGCTGCATTTACCAGACTTCCTTGCAACTGGGCAGCCATACAGGTTTGTGCTGGCAATGACACATGGGAAATTTTAAGAGAGAGGGTGGTGCATCTTCTTCCTCCCCCTTACTCCTTTCTGCTGCCAGGAACTCCAAAGTGATGCCCAAAGTTCTAGGAGCCATTATAGGTGCTATGCTGCCTGGAGTGGCAGGGCCCAAAGACTGGCGCCTGGGTTCCTGGTCACTTTGTGGAGCCACTCTTTTTGGCTACCAATTCCTCTTTCACAAGAGAGAGAGAAAAATTTCCATCTTATTAAAACAATTGTTCTGGGGGCAGGGTTCTATGTAAGCAAATCTAATTGAAAATGATACAACTGGAATCGTGGATTTTATATACCACACTATAGAGTCCAGGCTTGTGCTATATAGGTAAAGAGAACCCACTGAAGAATTTTAAGCTAATATACTAAAGAACAAAGCATATAATTCTCAAATGATACTGGCCATAGTATATACATATCTTCACTGAGTTCTAGAGGTTGAGCTAGAAAATAGCATTTTTACACATGATGAGGAGAAACTAAATGGGTCCTGCTGTCTAATCTGTCAGGAGGGCAGTTCTAAGGCCACGTATTAGAATCTCATAGATAGCACTGTAAGAAGGAGAGTAAGGAAGAACATATGAGAAAATGGCTAAGATAGGAAAACACTACAGTATTTGAAAAAGCAAAAACTTCTTACATAAAAAACTTAACAAACCACCATAAATTCAGATAAAATTTAACTCAATTGCATAAATCTTTTGAGGTATATTATAACTATTTTATATAAATTATCAGAACACTGATTAGTTGACACACCAAGACTGTTTATACCTGGCTGCTTAGCCACTGATGGGGGTTCTATGGTACAGAAGAAAACTGGGTCTGGAATCTCCACCCCAGCCAGAAAAATTCTCTCCGCTTCACTACTTTTCCCGTGCTGCTTTTCTCCTTCTCTTTCGGCTCTCCGAGCTGCAGCTAATGCACTGGACTTGGACGAGACAATAGTGTCTCCAGTGGCAGTCTGCAACAAAACAAGACAAGCTGGCCCCAAATAGGCCCCTGGCAAGCACTCATCTTCCACCAACAGCTCCAACATAAGAAAAATTTTAATGTGGCATTTTCTTTTCCATCAGAATTTAAAAGAGAAATAAAGTCACAAAGCTTATTACAACTTTGGATAAGTAAAATTAATTTAACTTATGTAAGAATTCTATCCAAAACATAGTTATGAACTTTAACAAATAATAAAATAAACACACATACACATCCAAAATCTATATGGCAAAACAAGGTACCTTCCTAAATTTTCAATCACAATGACACAGGTAACATGTCTTTATAGTGTTTTACTACCCATTAAATTTATTATTTTACAGAACATTCTCTACCAACTAAAGTACATAATTAAGTAGAATACTACGTGGCATGGCTGGCTTCCATGTACAACCCAGTTACTTTATATAAAACCATAAATTCACTTTTAAACTTTTATACAATGAAGTTTTATGCTAGTCTCCTCCTCTGTAAAGAGTCCTACTGAAACAAGAGTTCAAACATATTTGTATTGCTTCCTTCAGGTAGACAGAGACCTTCAATAATAGAAGTCCAGTAACCAGACCATGGGAATTTTCTACTTAAGGGTCTTGAAATTTGCAATTAAATGTTAAAAGTAACAATGTTAGGCGGCGCCTGTGGCTCAGTGAGTAGGGTGCTGGCCCTATATACCAAGGGTGGTGGGTTCAAACCCGGTCCTGGCCAAACTGCAACAACAACAACAAAAAGTAAATAAATAAAAGTCTTTAAAAAAAAAAGAATTAAAAAAAAAAGTAACAATGTTTATCATAAATGGCAAATATATTGAAACTTAATGAGAAAACTGTACTTGGTTTATCCATATACATGAAATATTCTTAGTTTTAACCCATCAAAAATAGACAATAGACATAGCATCAAGTATTTTCCTCTATTCATCCTACAAATACTTATGGAGTGCCTACTATGCCCAAGCGCTGATCTAAAGCAACGGACAAAGAGATAAAAATCCTTGCCTTCATGGAGTCTTCATTAACAAAATACCTTTAGTTATTAGATGATCAGCTATGAAGTCTAGATTAAAATTTTATGCAATGATCAAGACAGAAAAAAAAACCAATGGGAATAAAACAATATTTGATATAAATTTAAAACATAAGTATCTGTAAATACGTTAAGTATGAAATGCCCGATTTCCTTCAGTACTCAGTCTGACAGTTGATTTCTCTGACATTTCACTTTGACACTTATTTTTACTATGAAGGTACATCATCATTCTATCAAATGCATGTTTTGGCTTGTTGATTACCTTTCAAATGCTTTTTTAGAACAATTTTTGTGAAACAATACCTAAGGCCAAAAATCTGTGTTATTTTCAAATATAAGTTCTATCACAGAACCAACGCAGTGCAAACAGCACGAAATATCAAAAAAAAGTTTTGGGAAAGGATGCGGCTAACAAACACACAGTATGTCAATGATGTGAGAAGTTCCATTCAGGTGATTTTAACCTGGAAATGAGCCAGGAGGGCGCCCTAAGACCAAGGTGGGTAATGATGAGCTGAAAGCTGTAGAAGTAAATCCGTTTCAACCTATGTGTGAATTATCAGCAAGGTCTGACATTATTACTCCAACAATATTGGACCATTTAAGACAAACTGGCAGAGTAAGGAAACTGATGGTTTCTGCATGCATTAAAGTATCAGAAGAGAAATCATCTTGAAGCTTGCCTTTCTTTGCAGTCACGACATAAAAGTAAAGGATTTCTACAGTGCACTGTTATGTGTGATAAAAACGGGTTCTTTTCGACAATTGGAAGTGTCTAGCACAAAATTTGGATAAAGAAGGAGTGCTAAAAATATAGTCTAAAACCAAATACTCATCAAACAAAGCTAACAGAGCCGGGCACAGTGGCTCAGGCCTGTAATCCTAGCATTCTGGGAGGCCAACACCAGTGGAATGATTGAGCTCAGGAGTTCAAGACCAGCCTGAGCAAGAGTGAGACCCTGTCTCTAAAAATAGCCTGGCACTGTGGCAGGTGCCTATAGTCCCAGCTACTCGGGAGGCTGAGGGACGATCACTTCAGCCCAAGAGTTTGAGGTTGCTATGAGCTATGACACCACAGTATTCTACCTAAGAAGACAAAATGAGAGTGTCTCAAAAAAAAAAAAAAAAAGCTAATAGTGTCTATTTGGTGTTCCAGTACTGGTATTATCCACTACAGCTTCATGAATCCTGGATACATCCATTACAGCAGATGTTTCTTGCAAACAGCTGACCAAATGATGAGGATGCTTGTAATTAAACAGCCAAGATAGTCAAAAAAGATAGTCCAGTTCTCTCGCACAAACAACACTGCTCAACTACAGAAGAGGAACTTGGAAACTTGTCATCTACTGTATTCACCAGACCTTGCACCAACTAACTACCACTTCTTCCAGGCTTTGGACCACTTCTTGCAAGGAAAAAAATTAAATTCTCAATAAGCTATGGAAAATACCTTTCATCACCACTCTCTCCAGGCTTCTTTGTTAAGATGGCAAAACTGTATTGACAGTTAGGCGCATACTCTGATTGGTTCTACTGCTTCTTATTTGAGATATAATAAACACAACTTTGATTATAAATTGGACATTTCATATTTAATGACCTAATATTTTAATTGGATTTAAACTCTGTCTTCCATAATTTACTTTTCTATTACATATATGAGATTCAACTATGTTGGTAAATTTTTTTTTTTAACATTTCATATGCTTTTTTTTGAGACAGAGCCTCAAGCTGTCCCTCTGGGTAGAGTGCCGTGGCATTACAGCAACCTCCAACTCCTGGGCTCAAGCGAGTCTCCTGCCTCCGCCTCCCAAGTAGCTGGGACCACAGGCGCCAGCCACAACGCCCGGCTATTTTTTGGTTGCAGCCATCATTGTTGTTTGGCGGGTCCGGGCTGTGGATTCAAACCCGCCACCTTAGGTGTACGTGGCTGGCGCCTTAGCCGGTTGAGCTATAGGCACCGAGCCAACATTTCATATTCTTTTATTCTTTCTTGTTTACATTCAGAATAAAAGTCAACGTTAGCATCTGGCAGTATTTTTGCAATTTTTTGAATAAAGTCACATTTGTACGAGGTCTCCTCTACAAACTGCACCATATAACACACCAAAGGCTGAAGTAAGACACACACATGGGCCCGACTGTTTGACTTCAATCTTTCCACTGCTTTGGCATCTAACTTTGCATCTTCCGAGCTAGAAGCCTCAGTAAGCAAACTTATTTCTGGATCAGCAGGCCAATATGAAATTCAGTTAACTCCAGCTGAGACTTTTGCCTTTGGGCTTCTGCTGGGAAGAGCTCCATCCAGAGACTGAGCAGAGTGAATAAATTGACTTTAGAAAGTCTTGGTATTTGACCGGTCATGCTGCCGGTCTGTGTGCTGACTGACCGCCTGGCCTCCACGCTCTCAAGACTTTGCATCTGCCCTGCTTCCTTCATCCCAAGCCCAGCGTCCGGTGCTGCCCAAGAAACCTCTCCCTGTCAGGCATGATCTTGGCCCCAGCGGCCCACCCTCTATGTTGGTAAATTTGCCACAATATTATTCCACTATTGATGGATATTTGGACTGTTTCTGGGTTTTGACATGACAAAATATCGACTTGTAGTTAAACATTTAAGCCGTGTTTAAGCCCTGGAGAAATCACTTGGTCACTTACGTGCTTAAGACCAACAGTCAAAGCGATATTACCAGCAGCCAGGGAAGGGATTTCTATGTGTTGGTCGGCAAATGGCAAAAGCAGACGACTTATTCTCTCCCTGTAAAACCATGATTTATATCAGCAGACACATTTTAAAAGAAATTAGTGCAGTTTCAGAAAGTAACTCAGCTTCTACTTACGTGCAGTTTCCATTAATATTATGGATGGCTAACTGGGGTTTTATTGTGCCTGAGTAAATGCGCATAAAAACCAGTGGTCCTCGCTGCTTATCATGGAGAACTTTAAATGCCAGTGCACATAAGTCACCCTTATACCACTGCCTATGAAAGAAAGAAGACATTCCAGAAAGTTCTGTAAAATATACTTCCCATATATCTACACATATCAGATCAGAATCACTGTAGAAACTTAACCTTAATATTCTCCAAATATCCCTCATATCTTCTAGTAGAGCTACACAGAGCCACTAAATAAGGTCATTACTATGCAACGCTGTTCCTCCATTGACTAAATCATTCAATGGGAGATCTTACCATTAATTCCTCAAAATTAAAAGAAACAGATTCCCTTCCATATATTACCTTTATTTTCAAATCATTTGACTGCCAAAAGCTCTCTCCCCAAAAATTATACCTGAGATCATACAACTTCTTTTTTTTTTTTTTTTTT